GTTTTGTTTCCAAATATTTTTGAGTTGGGATTTTGAGAATTGCTTTCAAATCAAATACCAAACAAAGATTTTAAATTGTGACTCAAAACTTATTTTTGAGTTAAAAACATTGGATCCAAATCCAATACCAAACGAGCCCTTAATTTCCATGAGCTGTTATACGAGGGAACAAATTTGATCGAAAAACAACTGACCGATTGTGAACCACCACCGGCTTATTGCAGAGACTATTAAAACACAGTAAACTTAAGGGATTTCAAAATCTATCTGTTTTTTACCTTCTTTTTTCCAATAGAACTACCGTAAACTGGTGCCAAGACGTTTGAAAGAGTTCATCCCATTGCCTAAATTCTGCGCAATATGAGTAGAAATGCAGCATAATTTGATTACCAAATAATCGTTAAAACCCCAATCGGCATATGTTCTTGTAGCGTCCTCCCATAATTTAAACTTCCTTCAGGATCTGAATGCTTACTTTCAAGATACAGAAGTCGTTCTAGTCACAATTTTCATTTGTCCTCGTTCGATGGTTCTTCTTTGTCCTTCTGTCGGGACAGCAATTACAAAGAAGGGAAAAACTATTTAGTAATTGAAAGTAAATTCTAGAAATTTTTCTTTTTGGAAGAAACAAAAAATGTACATTCTAGAAACTTCCGATAATCGATATTCACACCAAATCAAAAGACGAATTTTGTGACCAAGAAAATTCAGCATCATAAACACTCATGCAAGACGATCTATGCGTAAGGTTTGTGAGCATACCTCAGACGGATTCTTCAGAGATGCAAGAAGATCTTTCACTGAAGGATCGTTGGGGTCAACTCCTGGAAGCTGTAAGGAAAATAACATATCAGAGAAACAGCAACAGCAAAAATAGCTATACACATAGTAAAAGAGTTAGGTTCAATTACACATACAGATTCAAGGATAGATGATACAAAAGATTGATCCTCCAACACCTTGCTCACATCGGTCTGGGATGATGGCTCTCCTGCACTTTCCTGCATTGACATTTGAAGAGCTGCATGCAGCCAAGATATAATAAGCATGCTGAAACTAACAAATTCTCCCAGAACGCTCCGTCAATGCTCAGAATTTTCAAATCAAATGTAATATTAACCACAAAAAAGGTAAAATGAAGAACCAAAAAAGGACGCATGATAGGTGTACATTTTGATGCCCAACTACACCAAACTAGAAAATGATTCATGTTCTCAGGGAAGCTAAGCGTCAATTGCTATGAGTATGAATTACACGAACCCATATTTCATAGCTTGGGAATTAAGCAAACCATAGTACTTGTACCCACGGCCAATAGATGAAGCAAGTAGACCACTTAACATGTAAACAGAAAGAACTACCAAGTATAAACCTGTGAATGTCAAATTTATCTGAAGGTAATGCATAAGTTTTTAAGGTCAGACAGTCGTAGAAATACACTCGAATCTATTAAAAATGAATGTGACCTCCAAGAGTTGTACAAGAATATACCTGTACAAATTTAAGTTTGCAAGAGGATATAAACCTTATGTTAAGTTAGTGGCATGGAACAAAAAATAGAAGCATGTTAAACGAACAAAAATAGAAGCATGTTAAACGAACAAAAAATAGAAGCAAGTCGTAAATAAATTTCCACAAGTAATCAAGCAAAAGAAGCTCATGCTCAAGTTACCTCACTCAACTAAATAATATGAAATATAAGAAATAAAATAACTCACCTAAAGCCAACTCCTGATCCGCACTAGTCGCTTCTGACATCTCAGTATCACCTGCTGAATGACCAGTTCCAGAGATGTTCATTGACATTGCAAGAGCCTCCTTCAACAAGTCATTCTCCTCAACCTATCACACATACCATTAGCCAAGGCCAATTTAAATAACAAAAATTCTTTGAAAATAACAAATGACAAAACAAAACCCAACAATATAGACTTTATAGACTTTAAGAACTAGACAAGGTTATGCAAGCATGCAAACACAGACAATCAAGAGAGGAACTGAAATCAACCATATCATCAGTATGTTTCTTATCCTCCTTGGAAGAAACGTTAGCTTGATCTGTCATGGTCACATCTTCTGATTTGGATGATGGTTCCCCTCCTTTTCCACCAGCTTCTTCAGCAGCTCTTTTGGCCGCGGCTTCTTGCCTAGCCCTTTCCTCTTCCATAGAAACTCGAAGGGCGAGAGCAAGCTCAGGATCAATGTTGGGATCAACGCCAAAGTCATACCCAGAGCCACCAATAGCAGCAGTAGTTGCTGCTGCTGCAGCCACTGCAAAACCACTTCCACCTTCTCCGTCACCAGTAAATACAGGTGTACTGCCATTAAATAAGGAAAAGCTCATATCACGGGAGACATAGTTAGAATTATTAATTATACAATGTACTGTGACGTGTTCACTATGTTATTCAACAAGCAATTCCAGCCAAGTGACACGCAGAATATGTGTGAAGATAGAAAGAAAAGTTTCTTGTGTTCACTATGTTGTTCAACAAGCAATTCCGGCCAAGTGACACATAGAACACATATGGAGACAGAAAGAAAAGTAGAAACTTATGCCTATTAATTTTCTGAAAAGTAAGTTGTAAGAAATACTTGAGCTCAAATACATATTCTTGCACAAATTCTCCCTGTATCATTTTAATACCTACTATTCTCACTTCTCCATTCTTTCTTCGTACAACATGCATTGCTCTTATACACAATAGCATGAATCTAAACCTATATTCCAATTAATTCCATGAACAAATAATTTTATAATTGGCAATGCAAGATGATATCTAAACAGACATGGGAGAAAACAAAAAATAAAACACCTTATGAGAACATCTGAGAGAGCATTTGGACCAGCGGGGACATGTACTATATGACTGCTGTCATTATTATTAACTGCAGACAGAAGGGCCTCCAGCTTCTCTGGCTTCCCATCATCCTCTTCCCCGAAATCAACAATGTCAAGAGCAACACTGTTCTTTTTCAGTTTCTTTCCTATCGATTCCAACACCTTCTTTTCAAATTTGACAGGACTGAACACGGTTAAGAGTTAGATTTCAACAACAAAAAAGAGCAAAAAGGAAAGTGCAAGCAAGAAGATTGCACTATATACCTTCCAGCAAAAACGATAATCCGTTGTTGCTGATTTTTGTTTTGACGATGCTTAAGAGCCAGCTGAGCTATCTGGATTGCAGATGCTATGTTCATCTCACCTCCCATCTCAAGACCTATATAAAAGGAATTAGAGAACTGCAAAGAAATTAACCAAAAGAAAAAAGGGATAATTTGACGAACATCATGATGGAACGATTTCCACAAATAAGAGATAATAAAGGTACCCATTGAACTAAAATTTTAATAAAATCCAGCACGCAAAAGAACACGAATCACACTTAAAACGGCCTCACCATCTCTAATTACTTCCTCGCATTGTATAGTAAGATCCAGTCTCACATTCATGCAGGATAATATATAGTACTAAAGCTCATTCGAGTTTCCCTTCAAAACTAAAGTTACAGCTTTGGATAATAATGTCCGCCTAAACTATGATCATTCATATTCAACAAAACCATTCCAACCGCTTCATTGATACAGTTTCATCAGCTATTTAACTCTACAAGTAAGCTAAACATGTAAAGTTTTCGAATTCAATTAAAAAATAATCACACAAGCAAATTAGTAATGAAATGAGAACTTCACCATGCATGCAAGCTAAAATCCTTCCAAGATCAGAGGTTGGAGTAGCCAATACCCGAACCCCTTTGCCCGCCATTGTCAATACCCCAACTGTATTCTCCGGATTAGCCTGCCCAATTTACAAACTCCACTGTTGAAAAATTGAAGTGGTTTACAATTTCGTAAAGGGAAAAGCTTGATTAAAAGTCGAAAGAAAACCTGGGTTTTGGCACCACAGATGAGATTAATGGCGTCGGCTTGAGCTTGCAATCGGGAGGGACAGTAATCGCCGTTTCGCATCCACTCGGAATTGTCGACACAGATCATAGTCGCCTGATTATTCATCACATTTAAGCATAATCATCAGAAAAACCGTATGCAAAACCTGAAAAATTGAAACATGCGAAGGAGGAGGATTAGAAGAGGGCTAACCTCGAGAACCATGGTTGCAGAGATTGTTCAACTTTTTATGCTTCACAACTCAAAACTTCAAAAGAGGGTCTCCGACTCTCCGCCGTGTGTGTGTAAAATGTGTAATTCTCAAAGTACCCCAACCGTATTTGTATATTTTTTGCTATTTTCCCCTTTATTTTTGCTCCTCCTATATTTTCTACTAATTTACTTTAAGTTACGGAACGAAGATTTTAACTTTAGTGTCGGTTTGGTGGATATTCTTCAACACTTGAAAGTGAAAGGTTTAAGTTTGAATTTTGTAAATGACGAATTCGTTATCAAATTAAGCTGCCACAATGTACTTAAAAAAAAAAAAAAAAATTATGCCCAAGTTTGCAACACTTTTCAGTCATCAGATTAACCGATACAAATCTTGTACACAAGTAATACTTTTATCCAAATTTGGATCTTGAATTTTGAATGTAAATTCGTTATAATTCCAAATTTGTAAAGAGAGTACATTGTCTTAAGGAATTAACCTGGCACCTCAAGAACGAGTAGGTGTTTCTCCTTAATTCAACATGCAGCCGATTTACGAAATTTCATACTTATGATCAAAACCTTACATATTATAATCACTATGTAAATCAGTTTTGCAAAAAAAAAAAAAAAAAAAAAGGTTTATTAAATACGAGATCATTTGGTCTTTGAACTGTATAAAAATAGATAGTCGGATTCGAAAAATGAATTACAAAATACCTATCTATTTGCTACAATTGATTGACTAAATTACTTTAGTTTTAATTGATTTTTTGTTCTTTACGGATTTAATTGATTTTTTGTTGAGGTGACATTCATATCATAAACACGAAATTATGTGAATCAACCACTAAAAGAGTGAACTAAGGAGGAACTCCTAAATCTTGAGAAGCCAAGCCTTTCTCCTTGAAGAATTCTCTTTATTGATGAAACCTCAGAAATCGTTACAAAGAAACACTCGATATGCACAATCTACCGGCAAGCAATTCCAACTTGACACAAAGAACAAATCAACACCACAACATTGTAAATCAAAGATTAATTTATACACCCAGAGTTCTGGAGATCATAGAAGATGGTCTATGGTTTCGACTAATGGGTAAGTGAGTGTAAACCTCGTGAACTTCCTGTTTACAAACCTCTCCTCTGTCCCTATCTATGGCGTAGCACACGTACACGGTGTCAATTACATTGTCCAGCACATGAACAAAGAAACCCAGTACCAAGATCAGCAGCACCCACGCCAGAACTGCCACAAAGTACGAATCAACCCCAAGACTGGTCGCAGCTTGTAAGATAGCGCAGACCTGTCAATGCACATATATAATCAGAAAATACCAAGGCAGAATAAAAAGGAAGAAGTGGAGTTCCAAAACAAGAAAGATGATGCAACCGAAAAAAAGTCCAGCAATCTGGGAACAGGAAAGCACATTTATCATGCATCTCCTAATGACTCATCAAACCTATACAGTGCAAACACTCTATGTACAGTTCCCAATCGACAGTGCATGACATCTAGAACAACCCTTCCTCCATTTCCGTCCTCCCCCCAACTCTCTTCTCTCAGTTAGGCCACACCAGAAAGTGCGGAAGAAGACCAAAAGGCAATAATTATACAACATTTATTATCACTATCATTAACTGCGTTAGGTGATAGATCTATGTAGTGTCACATGTTCAATACATGGATGAGTTCCTAACACCAAACATGATGCACGACGATCTTAAACAATAATTAATGGAAAACTGAATGATTGAGATTCGAAAAGACAACATACCACAATTGCATATATTGCTGAGAGTACAAAAACAATTCCAGCCAATAGACGAGTGGAGATGGTTTCCACAAAAACCGCCGAGAGAAGATTGCGCTTTAGAAGCTCATACGTCATTTTTGCAGATGAGCAGTAAGCTTCACCAGTTATTGCCGCAAAGTTGATTGTGAACTTGTTGAGAAAATCAATCGCTGACAATAAGGCATTAACACAACAGCGCATTACAAAATACACCATCCCAGGTGAACCGTCTTGTCTTGCACCATCAACCATGGCACGAACAACTCGAACAACAGATAAAAGTAATCCAGATAGGCATACTGTGCCAAAGTTGGGGCCAAAGGCATTTCTGCAAGTATAAACAGAAACATGAGAAAGGAGAAGTTATTGTGCTCACTAAATAGTAATGCCTATATTTCTGTTTGTTTAATATGTCAACCGTTTCACCAGGAACAGATAAAATAAAAACTATGACCAGATTACAATTCTCAAAAGCACAAGGGTTGACGACTAGGCATAAGAAAGAATACAGAACGTCACTGAAAAGTAGGCATAATTGCATTAAGAAAACAAAGCTGCGGAATAACATTAGTGCTCAGTGCATGCCAGATAAAGCAAAAATATTGCATCTTCATCCTTCAAGATATCATGTGGACATACATCCAGGAACATTAGCTTGTTGCTAAGAAAATAAAGGTCCCAGGGACCTGACATTACCAGGTGGAGAAGAACCTATACCGAAGTGCTACCGTCTGTCCATCTAACACCATGAAGAAATGCTAAATATCGACAGTTTTCATGCATATATTTACATTAGAGAAGATATAGTTGTTCTGGAGTTTGGTCGGTGGAACCTAGAAAGCAAATTTGGTTGAAAGTACACTGATATGCCTGACTTGCAATAAATTACAAATTCTCGACATAAATTGATTTTGTTTTCAGTCTTCCTCGTTATTCAAACAAAACATAGTTAATCACCAACTTTACAACTCTCACTAATTCAGTTTCATTTAGTTTGGAACAGAGTACATTTCAATTGCAAGTTGCAGCAATATATGAAGTACGAACTTAAGTAAATTACTCCAAACATCGAAAAACAAATGTAGCAACAAACAATTCACCTTAAAGAGCTCCTGATAATCCGCTTCGGAGTTGAATCCTCCTTAGTGAAATACCACTGAGCAACAGTCCCACTAATCACATACACCTGAGCTTCCACCATCGTCGTAAACGACCACAACATTGTCAAAATCGCCAATGCGTAATAAGCAGGCACCCAACCATCCTGCTTCCACACACAACTATACACTCCATTCGATTCCCGCGGCGCAATCTTCCCATTGAACCTGGCATAGACCAAGAACACAACAATGGGCGCATAGTAAACCACCAATCCTAGTGTCAAACACGGCAGAACCCCGAACAAGCCCAAGTTCCGGGAAAGCGCATGGGATGCCACCCCGATTATGCTCACAGTGAGCTCAATCCGATGCCAATTCACAACAAGAATCCACACAACGACCCCAATTACCAAAAACACGAAAATCAGAATCAAAATTCTGTAAACTAAAGGGAGAGCGTCGCTGCACGGTGGAGCTGAGAGTGCAGGCGACGAACCAGTAGACGTTGAAGAAGATTGGGAAGAGGATGAAGAAGGGGAGGAAGACGTAGACGACTTGCTTGGCGTAGTGTTTGAGGAGAATCAGCAGACTGAAGCAAATGGGCAGGCTTAGAATCAACGTAATTACGAGGGTCCATATCAAATCTTTGAGCAGAGAGGTGGAAGAGGAGAAAGTGGGTACGACCCAGTTGGGGAGACGGGTCAAAGTTTCGTTTTTGACGCAGGAGGCGGAGTCGGAGTCGTAGGAGAAGGAGGAGAGGGCGGTGTAATTTTGGTTGCGGTGGACGACGGCGAAGATTCCAATGGCGAAGGTGGCCAGGATAAAGAGGAGGTGAAGGATTAGAAAGGGGAGGTCTTTGAAATGGCGGGGGCCGTGGTTGTAGGAGATCTGGAGATACTGGGTCGGGTCGGTATCGGATTCCGGTGGGTCGGTGTAAGATTGCGGAGGGGACGGTGGCGGTGGTGGGTCTTCGATTGGGGGTTTGGAGAGGAGGGGGGTGGAGGGAGAGGATGAGTCGTAGAAGATGGGCTTGTTGGGTTCTTCGGAGCTGTCCATTGGAGCTCAGTTGCAGCTGAAGGAGGTGGAGATGGCGGCGGTGGGCAGTGGTTGGGGGTTTAGAGAAGGCGGAGAAGCATTTGGTTTGGTCGTTGACTGTTAAGCAGAGAGTGCGTGGAGTAGTAGATATGGCTAGATGGTGACGTGCATATGAGAAACAGAGCAATGAGGAAACATGCCAGTGCAAATTTTGGTCGGTTTGTCGACAGTGGACTTGTGGAAGCTTTATATACAGTGTTTTTTCTAATTTTTTTTCTTTTTTTGGCAATGATTAAATCATTAAAGCATATTAGTTTTGTGAAGTCTGTGTTCATTTATTTGTAATTGACGTATTTTAATCGCATAATTGTTATGATCAGAAAATTCTGTAATTTGTTAGAAATAAAGTAGAGAAAAGAGAGAAATAAAAGAAAGATTGGGGAGAAAAAAACAAAGTGTCTATTTCCAATATCATTATACCAGCTTTATATAGGAACTCAAATACATGAGTTGTTGTACAAGGGTTCTCTATAGTAAGCCAAAAGCTTCTCTGCATTATTATGATTGTAATGATAGTTTCCTAATATACATTGTAGAAGGACAACCACTATTTATCACAACACTACCTTTGGGATGTCCTTGTATAAATGATAGTCGTCTCAATAAAAACATTGCTGGGAAAATCAATGGGACAAAACCAAAGCAAAGGAGAAAAATTGAGCACAATTTAAAAATACTAAGAAGGCATTGGACGCGCATAATGTTGCCTTGCTAAAACATTGCCAAGAAAAACCCAGTGAGATAAAAACTTGATCGAAGGAAAAAGAGCACAGCGCGCTTATATGTCCATAATAGCATATTGTCCAAGACCCCCCTTGATCGATAAATTCACTAAATAAGTCTCTCCCCCTAATGATACTAAGTCTTGATTTGACTGGTGTCACCGTCAAGTATGAAGTAATGTGACTTTGGTCTCCAAGAAATTAAACTTGAATAAAACTTGACTTGGGGAAGTGCGGAGGTTTACCAAGAGTTAACAATAGTTGTTTGTGTTCCTGCAAAGAACAAATAAATGTAAAATAAAATTAGTATTCAAAATAAACTAGGAGCAGTATAAACTCCATGGTAAATATAAACCATATAACCTTATAGACTCTTCAAGAATCATACTAAAACTCTTAACTCTTTTAAGAATATGTTGCAACAATATAATTTAATTCGAACTAACAAGAGTACTCGTTGAGGCAATTTATACCAAATTTATCTAGGTACTAAATACATATTTTGAGCTTTATCTTCTTCATTTGAAATCTTTGGAAAGAATTTCATGGCATTCTCTATTCTTTATAAAATTGCTTCAAAAGAGAGATCAAAACTTAAAAATCTCAAGTCGTATGCAGTCTCCACATGCTATAAGTCTCAGTTTAAAATAACATTGTACTTATAGAAATGTGGCTGCATATATGATGACAAAAAATGACTCATGTCTCTACTATGAAGCACCATGCCATATTCGTGAGTTTATTTCAAAACACACAAGAATAACATTTGGGTACAAATTATAGGTTCCCTTATTCCACATTTTTCAATGGCTCTAAAATGGAATTTGCCTCTTTCCAATTTGTACAACAATTTTACAATTGTCGACATATAATGGGAAAATGTAACTGAATAGTCCTTGATGATGTGAGTAGCTACTATAATCAAAACTCTCAAGTATCGTCAATTCATGGTCCAACGCTTAATTTATAAGTATTTCATTGCTTGGTACATATACAATGCCTCTTCAGGACTTCCATTGTCACATCTAGGACAAACATCTTATGATGAACTTACAAACTTGGATCATACCCTTTAATGGAGAGTTATTTTCAATCAGGGCTTGAAATTATTAATCTCCACTTATAGAGAGTTCAAAGTTTATAAACTATATATATATATATATATATGTATGTATGTATATATCTACATCACTTATGAGATAAGAGCGGATGTATCAACGTTGATTCACGAGTTCTTGAAACTGTCACTTCTCTCCCTAATGGCGTGAAGAATTGACCCATCAAAACTGACAAGCTGCTAAAAATGAGGCAAATATGCACAACAAAAGAAAGATAAACTTGAATCCCAATTTTTATGGATTGAACCATCTTTGTTCACGCATTTGGAAAATAAACGTTGACCGAAATGATCATGATAATGCATGTGATCAAGATGTATCTCCCAAGAACAAATTAGCAATGATTGAATGTTTAAAGCTTATGGTAAGCCATGAGAAATTGCGTGCTCAAAAGTAATCCGAAATGCATGAAATAGCCCACAAATTTGGGAATTACGCTTGTAGTAGCAAGTGAATAATATTATGACACCTTGTACATACATCTAGGTTATTGGTCAAGTGGTCCACAATTAGATGTTGATTAAGATAATAAATATGCTTGTAAATTCTCGAGAAGAAAATAAGGATCCAAGATCAAATTATAGATGGTTTGAGGACCAATTTCCGTGTGAGCAATCCTTGCAAAGACATGCATAATGCACTGTGTTAAGGCCTAAAAACGTCCATACAAATTCATTAGAATCCAACACATCATTATGGATCATGAACGGCCATGATAATCATGCCATTACTTAGTTACTGAACTTCTAGTTCATGACAAGCATACACTACTTATATGATTATGCAATACAATTCATAAAAGAAAGTAGAAGCCACTTTGAAGAAAAACAATGAATTGAACAAAATTAAAATATAATTCAATATAGAAATAAATTCAATTAATGTGACGTCCCGTCCCAAATTTAATATATTTTATTCTCTAACCTTAGAAAATTACGAAAATGCCCTTGATAGTGGAAATCCTTCATGGACATTCGAGTCCTTATCACTCCTCGTTCCCTTGCACATATTTCTAGGTGGTATGTGTTCTTATGAACACATGAGCGTGAACAGGTGTAAATTGGATGATTTATGCACGTTTCCCAATGAGGGGCAAAATGATAATTGCACTCTTGAGAATTTATTACTTGTTTATCAAGACAATAGTGAGTTATTGGTATTGTGGGTTGCAAACTGTAATATCGACCTGTCTATGCTAGTATTTTATTAATTAGCCCTCGTGCCTAATTAATTATTATTTGGGCATGACCCAATGACACACACATACATATTCTTGTAGTACTCGGCAATGTGAATGTGTGGGTGCTCGCAGAACCGAATTTGGAGTTACAACGAAGATTCTACAAAACATCGAACATCGAGGGCAATTTGGTAATTTTACTGTTGCGCGGGGAGATATTTTGTCTTTCCTTTTGTGACCTTGTTTTGTGAGCCAGTGGGGCCCACACCCCGCTATTTCCCTCTCTTTCGTGTCCCCTCCATGGTTTCCTCACTCTATCTCAAGCTCTCTAACTTCTCTTGTTCTCTCTCTCACTTTTCTCCCTCTTTTCTCTTTCCCCTCACTTTCTTGGAATCTCTCTCCACACTTCCTTTCTCATTCAAACTCTGCACTCTCTCCCTCTCAAACTTTCTTTTTCTCTGTGAATCACAAAAGCTAGGACAAGCTCCCTCACCTTACACTCTCCTGTCCCCCTCCTCTGTACATGTAAGCACTATCACAACGGAGCCGCCATTTCTGCATCGATCTTAAACCACTCAAATCACCACCATGTCTTAAAGTCCTTCCCTGAGCCTAGTAATGATCACCAGTGCCATGTTTTCCAGTGAACTCGCGACAACTCCACCATGGTGAGCCTCGGGACATTAACCTCAAATCTTTATGATTTTGAACTCCTGATAATGTTTTTAACCTTAAAAATGTGATTGGGGGTGAATTAGTGCAGAAAAAACCTCGAGAAATTTTTTCCAAAAGCTAGTGAGGAAAACTGTGACCACCAAGCCATTTTCAAATCATTTTTTCGGCCACTACGACCATAACTAGGCCCCACTTTGGTATGGTTTTGTTCCCTACATTTCTAGCTTCAAATTGACTTTTGAATCAACAAGTTTGGTGAATAACTGAGCTCAGAATAAGCTCTGGAAGTTAGCCCAAAAACCTGCAAAATATGGAAATTTGCGAAGAAGGCACGTGGGCGCGCATGGTGGCTCGTGTGGCGCCGTGTGGAGGAGCCCGAGGTCTCCCCTTAGGTTTCTCGATGTGCCGAATCCAAATTCGTCGTCCGTTTTTTGAAATTCGATTGTTTTAAAATAGTTCATTTATTAGCTGAACTTTGTATGAATACGCAAATTTACGTTAGAACGTTATATATTTACGTAAATGGTTTTGTTTTTAGTGAAACACATCGCAAGGATCTCTGATGCCTGCGAGGTGGGTTCGACCTGAAGACGTGATTTGTGAGTGGGTCTTTGCTTTTAAATATTGTATATTTAATTGGTTTCCATACATATATTTAATAAATAATTTTCTACGTTACGCCTAAATTAGCTTAATGTATATAAGAATTCGTGCATTGACGGAATTTATGAAATTATTCTACGTCCTCCGAGATGCACAGGTATGCATATTATTATTATGGGTTGCTTTAATTATATTTACGATCACGAATATTATTATTTTATTATTGTGAATTACGAAATTTCCGTAGCATGATCATATTTATATTACTGCTCATCATGCATGCTACACTGGTGTTTGTACTTGCCCAGGCCAGGCCAGTCTTCATATGTATGTTCACATTGCACTGGACGCTCTCCTTGGGTCCATGGTAAGTGCTAGTCTTGTCCTAGATTGCTATAGGCAATTAGGACTTGTATATGACGCACATAGCGCCAGTCTTCACGTGATTGTAGTACTAAAACGTAAATCATTATTACACCCAGTCCTGTTCATGTTAGAATACCTCTGCATGAACTTGTGTGTCAACATATGTCAATGAGCACCCAATATTATATGTTCGTTTATGCGAGATATGGCAATTACTGAATGTTATAAGTTTTATGTGTGAAATATTGCGATCTACTGTATTTTTGAAATATTATTGATTACGCTAAGTGTTTTCATACTATATGTAGTGTATATATTTGGAAACTATATTTGTTTTACAGCGAGGGGTTATATGTTTTCGAAAAGGCTTTTACAAAACTTTATTTTCAGGCCCACTCATCCTTATTTTTCACCCCTCCAGGTTTTAGTGGCAGTGCTCATATCGACTAGAATTTCTGGCAAATGCTGATTAGGGGAATATTTCTAACGGTATAATTCTTATTCTAATTTTACTGTACTTTACTGCTTTGACATCACGTATGAAATGAGTTTGATCTCGCTTACATGCGCACTCTTGTACTTAGTCACTTTTAGATTTAAATTTACTCACATTTTCCACATCATCACCCTTTATGGCTTCGTCACCTTCATGGTGTCGGCCAGCACAACTCAATTCCAAGTCCAAGTGGACATTTTCGGGTTGGTGTGTGTCAATTAATGAATTCATAATAACATAAGAAAATTGATTTATGACTTCGTCACCTTCCTGGTGCTGGCTTTCACAACTCGATTCGAAGTCCAGGTGGATATTTCAGTTCGGGGTGTGTCAATTAAAGAATTCATAATAACATAAGAAAATTGAAATAAACAAAATTGAAATCAACATGATATAACAAAATGAAGAGCCAAGCTGACACACCCTGACCCGAAATGTCTACTATGACTCCGAATCGAGCTGTGCTAGCCGACACCTGGAATGTGACGAAGCCACAAAGTATAGTGATGTGGAAAATGTGAATAAATTTAAACCTAAAAGTGCCTAAATATACGAGTACGCTAGTGAGTGGGAATGAACCCATTTCACACGTGATGACAGAGCATAAGTAAAGTACAGTAAGGTAGAATAAAGATTATACCGTCATAGGTAGCCACCTATACTGAGATTTGCCAAAAATCCTCATCGATACGAAAGCTCAGCTACTAAAACCTGGATGGGCGAAAAATAAGGGTGAGTAAGCCTGAAAATAAAGTTTTATAAAAACCTTTTTGAAAACATTGTAACCCTCGCCGTAAAATAAGTGTAGTTTCCAAAATATAATTACTATGTATAGTATATAAATACTTACCGTAGCCTACAAAATCTCAAGAATTTATTACGGGACAATATCTTGTAACTAAGGGCAGGATATCCAAAATCTCAATAGTAATATAAGTAAAATCAGGTGCTCATCAATCTATGCTAGCACACAGGTAGAAGTTGCCTAATGTGACCTATATAACTAAACTGATGCTCATCAATCTATGCTAGCATACGAGTCGAAGTTACCTACTGCGACCTGTACGACAGGACTGGGTGTAATCATAATATACACTCTAGTGCTACAATCACGTGAAGACTGGCGCTATTCGCAATCACGTACGAGTCGGAGTTTCCTAATGCAACCTATACGACAGGACTGGCACCTATTTGGATCCAAGATAAGCGTGCGGTGCAGAGGTGAACATACACGTGAAAGATTGGCCCTGCCCTGGGCGAGCATTAACACTGGGGTGTAGCAATGATGAGCAGACTACATAAATATAAGCATGCCACAGTAATTCGATAATTCTAATCAACATACTAACATTCATAGCCGTAGATATAATTATGGCATCAAAGATTATAAGCATACTTGTGCATCCCGTAGAATGTAGCATATTTCATAAATTCCGTTATTTCGTTAATTCTTATAAACTTTAGTCTAATCCATGTGTAAATAAGAAATTCTTTTTCAAATACATAAATGGAAGCTATCAATCACACACACACACACACATCCAGGTGTACGTAAGAAATTCTTTTTCAAATGCATAAATGGAAACTATCAATCACACACACACACACACACACACAAACACAATATATATATATAAAGGAAATGACCCACTCACAGATCATGTCGTCAAGTCGAACCCGTTCGAACTAGAATAGTCGAAGTCACCGATAATAATTGCACCTAAGCATAATATTAGGACCCATTAGTAAAACTCCACTAAAACAATTAAATTCAGGAAAGCAGAGTGCGAAATCGGAATTAAGGCGTTGAAATATGCTAAGGAGTACACACACACACACACACAGATCATGTCGTCGAGTTGAACCCGTTCAAACTAGAATAGTCGAAATCATCCATAATAATTGCACCTAAGCATAATATTAGAACCCATTAGTAAAACTCCACTAAAACAATTAAATTCGGGAAAGTGAAGTGCGAATTTGGAATCAGGGCGTCGAAATACGCTAAGGAGGGTCCCCGATAAATTTTGTAAAAAGTCAATGGTCAACCCTACAAAGTCAACCAAGACGTCCTGGTTGTCAACCACATTAAAAATTTGGAATTTCACTAAATCGATGTTCAAAGCGGACTTGGAACGTCGAAATTAGCCTAGAAGGGTTTCCAAAAAATTTCCGAAAAGGCCAACCTAAAGAATAAGAATATTCTGAGCCCAAGTTTGAAACGAGCCGGCCTGGGACAAAAGCCCAAAGGGTTGGGTTTATGTAAACCTGTAAACAGGTCGAGTTTACTGGGTTTGGGTCGGGTTTAACCCATCCGTTAATCTAATGGGTCACCCGAACCCAATCCGTTAAACTAACGGGTCATCCGTTTCACTCGTTAACAATTTTTTTTCTTTCTTTTCTTTTCTTTCAAATCAAATCAAATCAAATAATTTCAAGAGAAAACACAACACATAAACACCAAACGCAAACAAATCAGCAGTAGCAACCGCCATGGGAGACGTAATAGTGTTGTATGCAGCTGTAGGAATGGGTCACATCATCTTCATGGTGGAGCTCAGCAAGCTCATCCACCGCTACGGCCCCCACAAGTTCTCCATCACCATTCTTTACACCTATGGCAGCTTCTTCGACACCCCTAAGTACGATGTTATCTGGAACTCCAGTCAAATTGGTCTTTCTATGAACCACTAGGTTCCCATCATTGATCCAAATCTGCTGTGTCACCGTCATGGTTGATGACTGCCTGCCCAACTACTGTCTCATAACATAAAACACCATGGTATTGACATACATACATGATCAGAACAACAAATTAACACATTTCACATTCAATGGGCTAAAACAAAACAAAACAAAAATTCAAGTTTTATATTTATAATCATCAATCAAATAAAATATTTCAAATTTCATCTTTAGTTCATAAGTCAAAAACACATAATTTTTGGGAACAAAAAAGATACCATCAACGGAAAAAATTAAGAACCCAGGTGAGTTGCACGTTTGTTTTTCTGGTATGAGTAAATTGTAGCAATGATCCCTCAACTAAAAATTCATTACCATTGGTCCCTCAACTCATCAAAATGTGTAGCTATTGTCTTTTTTATCAACTTCGTCAAAATGAGTTATGTTGGAAGGACTGTTACTACAATTGAGGTCCCTCAACTCATCAAAACGTGTAGTTATGGTCCTTTTCATAAAACTTCGTCAGAATTTGGTCAAAATGAGTTGTGTTGGAAAGACTATTGCTACAATTGGGTTAGAGTTGAGGGACCATTGCTCCAATTGGGTTAAAGTTGAGGGACTATTTATCAAGTTGGATTAAAGTTAAGGGACCAATGGTGATAGATTTTTAGTTGAGGGACCATAACTGCATATTTTGATGAGTTAAGGGACTAATGGTAATGAATTTTTAGTTGAAGGACCATTGCTTCAATTGAATTAAAGTTAAGAGACTATTACTACAATTTACCTTTTGGTAAATGTAAAAATTTGAGGCAAAATTGATGTAGAAAACAAAAACCCAGAAGCGAAAAAGGAAAAGAATTGAGGATTTTGAAGCAAACAAAAAGCTTAGGCCCTGCCTACATCCGCCGCATCTCCCACTCACACCCTTCCATTTCCTTCTGCCAATTCCCTCACGTCACAAATAAAATTACCCAAAACATCAGCGGCACCGCAATCATGGTCGACTTCTTTCGCCAAGCCTGTGTTCCTCCATAACGGATGGTTAACGGGTTCACCCAAAATGATCTGTTATTTAACGAGTGATTAACGGATTGACCCGATCCGTTAATCACTCATTCGAATACTAATTTTAACGGGTCGGGTTGAAAATGCCAGGTCTAGGTTTATGGTTTGGGTCGAGTTTAGGCTGAAGTCTTTTGTTATATATATATTTTTCTTCTCCGGCGGCTCGCCGAATTCTGGGCAGCAAAACAGAGCTCCGTTCGAGCTCCAAAAACTCAACCATAATTCACCATTTAATTACCAAAATGAAGTTAAGAGGGTAGGGATTTGAATTATACCATTGTGGTCCCTTGTCATGGCCTGATCTTGCCGGAAAAAGCCTTCAAAGGGTCGGTTTCCGCACCGGAAACTGGGGAACTTCCCCCCCGCACCATTTCTGTAGCAAAACGTCACCAAAACGTCTCAAAGTTACCCTAAGCGTATTCTAGAACGTTATCGAAGAAGGTTTAAAGAGTTTTCGAAACTTACCCTCGCCGGAAATGGCGAGAAATCGCCAGAGAGATTCTTGAACAGTGGCGGTGCCACTGTGCAGAGAGAGAAGGAGGAAAAAAGGTCTCTGCCTGGTTTGGAATCGTGACTAGGAAGGTTTTTAGGTGGTGATCGTTGGTGACGAGGCTCGCCGGAATGGCGAGTAAGACCGGAGGTGGTGCTCCCAGTGTTGCAGCAAGGGAGGAGTTCGAGAGAGAGAGTGAGCTCGTTGGGAGAGTTAGAGAAAGTCTCCGAGCATAGCAGTCACGGTGGCCGTCTCGCCGGAGTGGTGACAGTGTGGTGATGGTGGTGTGGCTCACCAGAGAATACGGTGAGTGGGTGGACGGCCTCAGCGCCGGTAGTTGCAGAGAGAAAAAGAAAGAGAAGTCGGGAGAGGAGAGAGACCTGAGAGTGCTAGAGAGCAAACACATGGCAGCAAGAGAGTGGTCCCAAAATTAAAAAAAAAAAGAGTCAGAAGGAGAGAATGGACATGGGGACAAGGGTGATATGAGACCCACGTGGGTGGGTCCCATCATAAAGAAATTCTACAACGAAAAATTAATAAAATAATAAAGGGGTTTTTACGTAGGATAATGAATTTATCAAAATGTCCTTGAATTTCGTAAGTTCATAAAAGCTTCATTGCCTTTAAAATATTTTCGTAAAATTATTCTTTTACAATTTATAAAATTGTAAAATTAGGGACGGTTTGTCACATAAACTATTTGGAAGATAACTCGACCATTAATTGCTTGTAAACTCAAGGTGGGAGATAAAAAAAAGGATTTTCCATTGTATGGATAGCAAGTCTTATACCTCAAAGTGGGTTGTATCCTGAGTTCAAATTCATGAGAGAATTGTAAAAATTGGCTCAACCTTTTTTTAATTTTTATTTTTAATCAAGCCTTGGTAAAAATACACCAAATATTGTGGGGTAAGGCTGAGTCATGCTCGATGCCTAATTTCAATATCATAAGTACCACCAAAAAAATTCGTTGAATGTAGTTATGCAACGACAACTTGAGGAACTTTAGGCCCTCCAAGATGTTGAATCAATGAACGCTAGGTTATGATTCAATCGAATAATTTGTAATCTAAAATGTGCAATTTCATTCCTAGATTAGAGAAACTACATGTCCTGCTTTCAGTAAATCTCTACATCACAAATAATCCACATAAATTGAGGATCAACACTTCATTAGCTCTTTGATTTCATATAACACACATAAAATAATAAATAAGTAGTAAATGAAATCATATTTGTGAATGCAACGATTAATTGGTTGGCAATTGGAACTATAACCATCCGTTGAATGCATAAACTTCTAATTGACCACTGATATCTAAAAACATATAGGAATTACATCATGATTTAATTCTTGCATACCATAAGTTAAAGAGTGTATTTTTGCTCATCATCATTTAGTATGATATATGCTCAAGCATACACCACACTAAATGGTAATGAGCAAAAATACTCCTAGGAGTTAAATGAAGAAAACCAGATTAATTATTTATTTGAATTGATTAGCAATTAAAAGGATCATTTATGCCATAGTTGTAACAGTGGAAGTTGAAATGAATGACAGGAAACATGATACCAAGAGAAATCAAAGCTCATACTTCTATTAAGTGGACGAATGGCACAAACCGTGAGAATAGCAAACCAATTTGATTCAAACCCAATTTATCAAATATGGAATTGTAATATGAGACTCCATTTGTGTGAAGAAAACCTCACGGTGGTGGGGTTCATATAAAAAAACTTGGACATCCCCAGTAGAAAAAAATATGCATCTATGTTCATGTGAAAATTATGAATATAAAGAAAAAAATATGCATCTATGTTCATGTGAAATTTATGAATATAAAGAAAAAAAAATCATATGAGTAGAAAAACCACATCGCGCACTTGGTAATTTATGAACGTCATATTACACCATTCAAGTTGTGTATATCATCATGGTATTAAGAGCATTGTGAAGTCTAATGGTTGAGCACAAAAGAAAACTCTAAACAATGCTATATGAGCTAAATCGAAAAATTCAATGAAAGGAAATTGAATCAAGGGCGTGTTGATAACGTATTGGAAATAAAGTATAGAAAAAGAGAGAAACAAGAGAAAGAATGGGGAGGAGAAAACAAAGTGTCTATTTTCATTATCATTAGACCATCTTTATATGGACATCAAATACATCAGTGGTTACCCAAATGTTCACTATAGTAACCCAAAAGCTTCTCTACATTATTATGATGTTTATGATAGTTTACTAACATACATTGTATAAGGACAACCACTATTTGTTTCACAACATAATTCATATTTTAAAGATGAATTGTTGGTTTGTTTGATGCATATGCATGATTGGACAATTACAAAGTTAATTAATTTTTTATTTCAAAATAATTTTTAAATGATGGTTAAGAAAATAAATAATTTTAATTATTATAGTTGTACAGATAAAAACACGTTATAACTGAAAAATTGGATGAAGGAGAAGAAACATTTGTCCACTTTCAAATACCAAAAGCATTTCCTAGATGCGTTTAATGGACATAAAATAAAGATCTAGTGGAATATCAAATAGCAATTAGTAAATGGTCTTTTATGTGATTATAATAAAAGCGTTTTTTTTTTTTTAATTTTTTATTTATTTTTAACAAACGATATTATCTATACTTAAGGAAAGGAGGTAGGTTTAGCCTCACAATAGGCTAACATAATTTGGTTCAAATTCGTCTTTTAACGAGAATTGAACCTAAAACTTTTCATTTACAAATGAAGAAGAATACAAGTACCAAGTGACTAATAGGAGCGCTTTTAGTTACATATTTTTTAAAAGATAGGGCTATTCATACACATTTTTTTAACTTTCCACACACTTTTTTGTCTAATGGTCTGGTATGAGACATGTCACCACGTTGTTAGAATCTCATATAGGCCTTTACGTAGATTCAATGTTGTCATAATCTTATGTTATTTTCATAGATCTTTGTCGGTCCCTGAATTTTGGTTCCATTAGAGTTTTGATTCTTAATTGGTCCTCAAATTTGTCACAATGTATAGAAAGGATCATTTTTGGGTAACATCATTAAAACTTTCATCCAAAATAAAAAGTTTAACAGGACAAATAAGGGATGAAAATTCTGACATAGTTACCTAAAGAACCGTCACTTCATATTTTGACAAGTTTAAAGACCAATACTCAAAATAATTTTTGAGGGAAAAATACGTTATTTATTGCAAAGAAATAGAATGCGTACAAACTGAGGATAGCGTGCATAATGGGTCTCAATAAAACCTTGCGGGGCTTTCAACCCGATCGAAAGGAAAAGAGCATCCCGTACAATCAAGAGAACTATCCTCAAATGACAATACATAAAATCATAACCCTACAAACTTTCTTCAAATAAGATATCCCTGAACAAGTTAGGGGGATTTTCACACCACCCAATCTGATGGGTACTACCCAACCCCAACGTACAAGTCTATGAGCAGCCGAATTACATCCTCACTGCACCAAACTCACCTTTGAACTAGGAAAAGATTGGAGCATAAATCGCAAGTCATTTATTATATTTCCCAATGGAGAACAGTCGTCCTCCTTGCCCTTCATGGCAGCCATCACCAGACTGGAATCATCTTCAAAACTTATCCTTTTACCATCTGGGCAATATGACTGGGCCAGCAGTAATGCTTGTCGAGTAGCACAAAGTTCTGCTTGGAATGCCGATCCTGTCCACCCCAATGGTCCCGCTACTGCAGCAACAAAATCACCCATATGGTCACGTAGCACAGCTCCAAAACCTCCCCTTGAGCCTTGATGTATCCATGCCCCATCAAAATTACACTTGACCCAATCAACCCCAGGTCTCCGCCACTTTTGCTGAACTTTCATGGATTTTTTCGTTCCTGACTTATGCCACTTATGGTACTCCTGTAGCCAACCTTCCGTTCTAATTAACAAATCCTGAGGCATCAGCTGCTTCCCATTCCAAAGCCCATCGTTCCTATTCTTCCATAGCATCCAAATGACCATCAATGATAATTCGAACACCGAAGCAGGAGAATGCTCGACAATATTTGATAACCAAAACACGAACTGTTGATTATCACTCTCTACCCTAATCCTCAAACCGCCAAACCAAACTGCTTTAGCCATATTACTATCCCTCAAAGCATGTTCTATTGATTCACCACTACACCCGCAAAGGCTACAACAATTGTCCACCTCCACTCTCTGCTCGGAAAGATTACTTTTCGTGGGCAATGCATCTAAGCATACACGCCAGACACATATTTTAACCTTCCCTGGGACGCACACATTCCATACCCTTCGCAACAGCTTCGTTCGTCCATCATCATTGACTGAAGCAGACCTGCTAGCTCCAACAGCTGCATTGGAACCAATAGACCTCGCCACATGATAGGCACTCCTCACGAGAACTTCCCATCACGTTCAAAATGCCAAATTCTTTGATCCGCTACCATTCGCATACTTAAAGGAATACTCAACATGTGTTCGACTTCCTCTTGAGAGAACAAATCATATAACAGCCCCACATTCCAATACTACGAACCTGCCACAAGCAGCTTATCAACCATACTCTCCACATCCAACTCCCGCCGGGGTGGGCTCAATACTCGAAAAAAGGACTCCCTTGGTAGCCAATTATCTTGCCAAATTCTAATGGTTTTCCCATCCCCTACTTGCCACCTTCACCCTTTCAACAACAGGTTTAGTCACTGCAATGCTCCTCCAAACATACAAACTGTTCACTGTAACTCGAGCACTAAGGAACTCGGTAGTAGGAAAATAACGAGCTTTGAAGACTCGACACACCAAAGAGTCAAATTGGTGGATAAAATGCCACGCTTGCTTCGCCAACAAAGCCAAGTTGAAAGCATAAAAATCTCTTAACCCCAATCCTCCCTCATGTTTCGGTTTACACAAATGGCGCCAGTTAAGCCAATGAATCTTCCGCTTACCCGGATCGCCACTTCACCAGAACTTTGCAATCATGGTATTCAACTCTTTGCAAAAGGATTTGGGGAAGAGGAAACACTGCATAGAATACATGGGTAAGGCTTGTGCCACAGTCTTCACAAGCAATTCCCTGCCCGCACAACTTAATAAATCGCCCTTCCAGCTTTGTAGTTTCTTCCATAATCGGTCCTTCACATACCGGAAAGTTTCTTTCTTCGATTGCCTAATTAATACCGGCAATCCTAGGTATTTGTCATGAAATTCAACTCTTCACATACCTAGACAATTTGCAAGAAGCTGCTTATCAAAGTTCGTGAGATTAGTACTAAATGAGACACCACTCTTTTCCAGGTTAGGAATCAATGCCCCAATTTTCTTCTAGTTAAATGATATAATGGGGGAAGCAAACTATTTTGCGATTGATCTCTAGTATCGATTTATAGCGCCAAGAAACTATCTTACCTTACCAACACCCCAATAATTTCTCAACCCTTATCCGAACTCTCTCGCATACAATGAGCCCTACGTGGTCTCATATTCTCATAAATCTCAGATCATGTGTGGCAACAACAAACGGAAATGATTTCTGCACAACCCTGATTATCTCTGCCTCTTGAGTCCAACAACCATAAATAAGAGATGGGCATAGAGAGAAAATGAGTCTGCGGAAATTGGTTCCCGTAAATAAACTCGTTTGACAACAACGAAAAAGAGCACTAAATGCTAGTCCTTTGAAGCTGCTTTAATGCTTTCAAAAGCAACTTCAGAATGAAAGTCAAATATACATGCATGAGAAAAATGGGGGCAGACGAGATAAAAAAAAAATTGGGGATTTCTAATCGGTTCCTCACTTCCTCTACAACAGAACATGTTTGTATTAACAACTCTTGCCAATTACAAAAGGAGAGAGAGACTCTAATATATCCAGGAGAAAAGCCCGAGACTGATGGAACTACGTAGAAGGGAAGAAACTCGTATCGGTCATCTAAAAAAGCAATCTACTGAACTCAAGTTAAAAATCTGTTGTAAGAAGTGTGTCAACTTTCCTCATCCCACTGGCTCTTGGGTATCTCTCCTGATTCAGCAATTACAACCTTCTTTCTCGGTTTTCCACTGTAGGTTCCAGCCCCTCCTTCGATTGTGTACACCAGTGTCCATTCCCTGAATAACCTTGCCAAAGACAACATGCTCCCCGTCCAACCTGTTCACATACCAGACATCGTCATTGTATAACTAGCCTTGCGTTATATAGCAAGTTATACAACTCTAAACTATTTCATATCTCTAGAATGATGCATGTTGATCATTCTCAGAAACTTCAGTGTAATTCTTAAATGCAAAGATTCCAAAACTCAGCATCATATAGATGCATGAAAGTTTTCAAGACCTCCTATTAGTAACAAGCGTGTTTAAGGACTCGCGGCCCTGAACTAACACAAATACACTTGTTTTGGTGGTCTGCCGAAGATTTCTCTCAATTATTGATATTAATTGCTTTGGTTTTATCAATCTTTATGTGACATTCAGAAAATTCTTGACATGGAATGTCAAGCCAGAATACTCTGATTGCATCACCATAGGAGAAGCCAGTCAGTAGTACTCAAATAGTGGTTAGAAATTAAGGAGAATCTCACTAGACAATCTTGGACGGCAGGACCTATCCCAAAGAACAAATGTATACAGTTTTTGGAAGTTCTGTATGGTAAGGTAACCTATGCATTTGTATTGGCTGTATAAACTCTGAACCTTTGTGCTGAGCCATATTTCTTATTATGTTGTAATATTAAGAAATCCACCCCCAAAAATAACTTACCAACTAGCTTTAATTGTGGTGATAAAGAACTGTGAGCCATTGGAATCAGGTCCTGAATTTACCATAGAAACGACACCTGCACATAAAATGCAGTTTCAGGGGAAAACAAATAAAAATGACTTAGTAACAATTCAGAGAATTAGGAGCTTTAGAAATCCATAAATTGTGAAGAAAAGAAAACCGACACCATAAACTTATGAAATTAAAGACCTGCGTGTGAATGTTTCACTCTGAAATTCTCATCAGGAAATGTGCTGCCATATATAGATTCATATCCCTTCCCATCACGAGAAACAATATCTCCACCTTGAATCATGAACCCAGATACTATACGATGAAATGGTATTCCCTTATAGTGGAGTAGTTTCCCCTTGACACCTTTTCCCTTTTCCCCTAAATTCAAAGAAAGTTTGAATCAGCATAAAAATAGCAAGAGAAGCCTATGCAGTGATAAAAAATTCAGTAGCTCTAACTACCTGTGCACAACGCCCTAAAATTTTCTGCAGAAAAAAAGATTCAGGTGTTAGAGATAACCATGCTTTAGTGTAAAAGAAGAAAGCAAGTTGGCAGTCCACAAAATAGCAGTCAATATCAGTAAGATTGCTAAAATTACTGGCTGAGTTGAGTGTACTTGTACATGTAAAACTATGTCTTTTCATGTTTACCTGTTTGTCAGCAAGGTTCAAGTAATCGGGCATTAAAAAAAGATCATTCCAAAGATTCAAACAAGTGTAAATAGTTTGGTTATTAGCATGCATTGAAATGAACCAAACTTGAATTCCAATGTCATGATGTTTAATCTAGTAAGTAATTACAGATCATATTGTAAGATTCTAATTAAAATGTATTAACAAGTGAGATGATCACATACCAACAGTTTTTGGAACAACCTCACCATATAATCCAATCACGATTCTACCTACAAATATAAAGGTGAATAGAAGTTATCAGTGCATAGGAAAGCAATATAAAATAGGATGAAGATAGTTAATAGTATAGACATGAAGCTATACCTAAGTGCTGTCCGTCAATATCAATATCAAGGAATACTCTGTGGGTAATTTCAGGCACCTCTTCTATTTGCGCTTCCTCCTAGACATCAAATTAGAGAGTTAAATCAATTTGTTTGTAATATTAGGCGCGAGCGATTCTTTGCTCTTACTGAAAGTGAAGGCATCATTACTTAAAATATAAACCACTAAAACTAAACTCACGTAAGCAGAAATGTAATGATAAAACCATGGACTTCCGTGACTTCATCGGATCTGATACACGAAATGGTCATGCCTAACATGCAGACATGTTTAGTCATCCCAACAAGGTGTTCCTCAAACAAGCTTATGTGAGGGATCCCTCAGTGGTATAAAGGCAGATGTACAAGCACCAAACCAGAATCGAAAGATTCAGAATGCCCCACCTACGCACTACCCACCCACGCATGCATTCCGGTATCAATTTCAAGCACATACCATCCGAGAATCATAGATCACACATGGGGCTGGAGAATTGAGCCCACAACTACTAAGTCTCAAGAAACCAAATGCCGAAATTGAAATGTATTACGATGACAATCGAAATTACTAGAATTCTAGACATGAGCTACATAGACAAGCTCCGTGAATAGCACAATAACAAAATTCACAGAGGCTGACCAACATATAGGCTCCACCCATCAAACCACGCTTAAGTCTTAACCCATTTCACCATTTAGCAGATTTCAAATTATTAGCACCCAATTAAGCATTCATTAAATAGAGTATTTGTGAATAATTAGTCCCAAATTCTGATTTCCAAACGCCAAAATACTAATTAATAGGTTATAAAGCACCAAAATTTGAACAAAACCCATTAAACCCACATTGCCAAACAATTGTTTGAGCAGGAAAAAAAAAACACAAAATCTCATTCAGATCCATAAACTATAGTTAAAACCCAATAAAAATGACAGGAAAAAAATAAAAAAAATAAAAAACTCACCTTCTTATGGGTGGACGAGAAAACGAAAATTAGGAAAATGGCGAGGACGAAGCAGACGATGAGGGATCGAGGCTGAAGCAGGACGGAGATCTCTCGACGCATCGTTCTGATCCTCTCTCTATGTGAATATGGTTCTGAATTAATTAAGAAGTAGTATATCTACCTCGTTGATCTTCCATGTTAGCGTTCCTCTCTCTAGGAAAGACCTTAAATTCGGTGGTGCCAGTGACCTCTGAACTGAGACAGACACACTAGTGACGCTGAGAGAGAGAGAGAGAGAGAGAGAGAGAGAGAGAGGGAGGGAGAGGGGAGAGGGGAGAGGTAGAGGACACAGACCTGCAATTTCCGGTCCAAGAGACAGAGAGAGCAAGTTTAGGTGCGCTAATCCTATTTATTCTTAATTAAGTGCAAATGATGTCTCAACAGGTCATGAGTCAATTCAACTACTTGATAAATTTGTGAGTGTTATTTTTCATGTTTTGTGTCTTTATTTATATTAATAAGAAAGATAATTTTTTTTTTTGAGGAAAGCAAAATAGTATTAAGAGACTGAAAAACCCCGGGAACACCCAAGGCCCCTAAAGTCAAACAACAAGGCATCAGAAGCAACTGAGGGAGTACAACCCACCCAAACATGAAGATTCTCTAAGCCATGCCCATAAGAAGTAATGGCATCTGCAACAAAATTAGCTTTCTTATAAATATAGTTCCAAGAAATAGATTCGAAAGAAGAAGCCAGCTATTTGATGTCTTCAATGATAGCTCTAATATGCCATGTAATGCTACACTTCCCTAAGATAGCCTCAATGACAATCTTAGAGTCCCCTTCAATCTTGATCTTCTAGACTTTGGCAATTGAAGAGTATCCCTAGCAGCTAAAGCCTTAGCAACAATGACTGTGTTCTGCCCCAATTCCTTGCCCCAGTCACAAGTGGATGCCCATTATGGTCTTTAATGATGAAGCCTGCAACAGCAGAGGTACCTATAACAGAGCCATTAAAGTTTATTTTATGATACTCCACATCTGGGGGATGCCACCTGATAATATTATTTCTTTTACTTTGATTGTCCATCCTTCCATTAGAGTTGACAAGACGGAAATTCTTAGCTATAGAAGAAAATGTCTTAAAACTACAAATAGGATTAGGCATTATCTGCCTAAAAACAAAATCATTTTTGTCATTCCACATTTGCCACCAAACAAACAGAACTTTACTAAGAGCAGATAAGTCTTCTTTGTTAATGAAATCCAGGCTATTAAGCCAATCATTAACTAATGGAATGAAGGAAATCGCAGGTAAACTGCTGTCAATCTTCCACATCTCCTAAGCATAAGAACAATCTTTAAATTTGTGACCAATGTCCTCCTCACCATTATTACACAAAGGATATAACGCAGAAATGGTATTATTGAATTTATGAAGCTTCACATTAGTTGTTAGCTTATTTCTCACCAGCAGCCAATCAAAGAACTTAACTTTATGAGGGATGTTTAGCTTCTAGATTTTGTTTAGAAGCCCTTTGAACAACTGGTTCTGATTATCATTCACTTGAATTCTATGAGACGATTTAACCGAGAACTCACCATTGGGATTGGGACCCCAAACAAGTTTATCTGCGACCTCATAAATTGGGATGGGAATAGCTAAAATTTTCTGAACAACGTCTATTGGTAAAAATTGATTAAGAATGCCAGCATTCCAATTTTTATCTGTCATAACATTACTAACTTTAAGGTTCCAGTCAATAAGATGCTGGTCTTGAATGGCAATGATATTGGATAAAGGGAAAGGAAAAACCCAGTTATGAGACCAAAACTCTATGTTTTGACCATTTCCCACAATCCATCTCATTCCCAGTTTTACAATATGTCTAGCTGATAAAATACCTTTCCAAGCTGCTAAATGCTTTTGCCTACACTTTGCATTCCAAATTGATTCATGTCTTAAATATTTTGCTTTAACAATCCTAACCTACCAACTTTCATTATCATTAATAATTCTCCAAACAAGCTTTGCTAAAAAGGCAAGATTAAATTTATCAACCTTTTTGATCCCAAGGCCACCTTCTGTTAACGGGGTACAAACCTCTTCCCAAGCTATCGGAGAGAAGTTAGATATTTTATTCTAGAGAAATTTTCTACTCTTCCTATCAATAGTTTGAGTAATTTTAGTAGGACATTTAAAACAAGCCATTATATGGTTAGGCATTCCGGCTAGACTCGACTTAATAAGAGTAAGTCTTCTAACCCTGGGTAGTGAAAGCATATCCTGGTCCTATCTCTACATGGATTGGTGTGTCGACGATGTGACAAACTAATGGTATTGTCTTCTGTGACTACACTTGATTCTCCCTCAAATGAACTGTTAGATATGATCTTGAAGGCACTTTGAGCATCTCCACGAAAACGATTGTGATGACTTCCCTCAATGGAACGCTAAGAGTCTCGCCCAGAAGTTGCTAGAGATTGTGGCGCGATTGTGTGGTGTGGTGTGGTGGCAACAGTGGTGATAGTGGTGATAGTGGTGTAAGAGGTTAGAGTGTACTGGTAGGTGGTGATGGTCAATTTGTTCTCCAAGAATAAAATGTGTCTAGAAAGATAAATGTTGTTCTTTTTAAAATTAATGAGTGTATTACAAGAATTTAAAATATTCATTAAAAGCTCAACTCTGCTTTTTATTGAAATAGCTTTTAAAAGTAACTTGTACACAGCTTTTAAAAGCTGCTGCCTAGAGGCAATTGCTTTTAAAATAAGCAGGATCTTTTATATTACTAAACACTTTTTTACTGCTTAATTTTAAAGTGAAACAACTTTTGATGGAAAAAAAAACAATACTAAACTGGCCTTACGCTATTGGGCTTCATGTTAAATGAAATTATGAAAAGCAATATTTGAGGAAGAAGAGTCCTTAGACCACACCCAACCCTGGGCTATTTGCCAAATTACACCACTTATTCCCCCCCCACCCAAACCTAACCCAACCCAAGCCAAATCTTTGGGCTCAAAGCCAAATGCCAAACCAAGGCCAAATACCCCCTAAGAAATAGCCCACAAATGTGTGGACTCGCCCAAAGGGAGCCCAGTCTCGGCCCGTTCACTCGTGCACTCGCCCCACGTGGGCCGTTTGGCTTTAGCGCCCGACAAGGGGGCCTACTGTTAGGGCTGCTGTCGGCCACCAACGAAAGCCCAATGGCTCTTTTCTGCATCCTACAGTTGGGCTTGGTTGATCTAATAGTCCAGATTCAAATTTTGTTTTTTTTTTTTTTTAAATGAAATTTTAAAAGACATTGAATACAACAGCTGAGATAAAATGTTCATAAAATTAATTTACGATAATCTACATAATTTTTTAAAAAGTTAATTTAAGAAAAAAATTAGCAATAAGTTCATTCTTTAATAATCCCGGACTAAAATTTTAGGCTAGAAAGGTTGGAGTAGAAAAGTTGTCACATCCCGGCTCAAGCCCCACCATGTCCCGGGCTTAACTCCATCGTAGCATGATATTGTCCGTTTTGAGCCCCGACTACGCCCTCACGGTTTTGTTTCTGGGAACTCACACAAGAACTTCCCAGTGGGTCACCCATCCTGAGATTGTTCTCGCGCAAACTCGCTTAACTTCGGAGTTCCGATGAACTCCGAAGCCAGTGAGCTCCCAAAAGGCCTCATGTTAAGTAGAGATGGGAATATACATATAAGACATAGAGGATCCACTCCCCTGGGCGATGTGGGATGTTACAAAAACTGTTTTTGGGCTAAAAGCTAAATTTTCTGGACTAAACAATTTGGCTTTAGCCTAAGGGTTAGAGATGGTCTTATATCAAATGAAGTTCGTATTTATTCAAAGGCTTGTTTTGGAAGCCAATTAATGCAAAATTGTCAGAATTTGATATGTGTTAAAACAAATTATGTAATTTAATAAGTTACTTGTGTATATGTAGTAAATTATTGCAACTAAGTAGGAATAACTATTTTATGTGTAATAAGCTAAATTGATTGTTAAAGCGCCATGTGCTTTCAAAAGCACGTTGTCTATTTATTAAGTAAAAGCCACATTAGCTATTATAAATTCTATGAGAGCTTTAATGAAAAGGGTTTGAGTTGTGACAGCCCGTCCTGGATTTTTCGTACCGTAGGGGTAAAATGATGATTTTGCCCCTAGTGTTTTGTTTCGTTGTGTGGTCATTTTGGGGTTTTGGCTGGCTGTTTTTGGACCACACACGTACCCACACACTTTCATCCTTATCTTCTTCCTGTCCTGAGTCCCTCTTTCTCTCTTTTCTTCTGCTTGTGTACGGACAAGACTAAAACACTCAGAAACGTTGTAGATCGAGGAAGATAATCCTACCTTTGTGTTCGTGAAGTGCATACGAGTTCAACCATACCCATTTTAGGTAATGATACCTTCATTTTCACGTCGAACTTGAGATCCCCGATTTAGCCACTGTTCATGCACACGTAAATTCATGTGTTTTTAGGAATTTCAGGTTTGTAAGAAGCTTGGTGAGGTCCTTAGGAAGCTTAGGGTGGTTCGTTTGAAGGTTTTGGATGTCGGGATCATGAGTTGCAGGTTTGGGCGGATTTGGTGAAGTTTTTTTGGCGAGATTCCATTGGTTTTAGTGCTTGAAAGTGGTAAGGTTTTGTTCTTCTAGTTGTAAGCTTCATTTTGGTACAAATTTCGTGAAATTTGGGTGAAAAACGAGTAAGAAACAAAGTTTAGAAATTTTTCCAGTTTTTCGGCGACGGCGACGGCGTTGGAGGTTGGCCGGAGAAGACGACGGTATATTCCGTCAGTTTGGACAGAATATTCCTAATAGCATTAGGTTAACTTTAACGGAATCTGTCAAATCTAACGGAATATTCCTGATGGCGTTAACTGACGCCGTCAGTGTGCCAGGCACGTGCTTGCTCGTGGGTGGCGCGTGTGGCCGTGCATTGGCCGACGCGTGGGGGTGCGTACGATGTCAGAAAATTATTTTAAAAATATGGGGATGTTCGTGAAGTTGAGTAAATCACGTTGGTGTATTCACACACCCCATTTGAGCATTGTATGAGAAGTTATTACCTAGTTTTGGTTATGTACTCTAAATTAACGTTTTTATAGTTGTTTCGCATATAGGTGAGACCACTCCTGAGGACGAGCCCAGTCACTTGAGGCAAAGGGGTTACAACCCTTCTACATACCAGTGAGTGGGTTTTTGGTTTTCCGTATATACCTATATACTTGTGATTTTCCCAGAAAATGAAATGAAACGTTTATGTGTTTTAAATGTCATGCATTGTGTTTGCCTATTTAGTTATGCATTATTAGTTGCATATATATATATATATATATATATATGTTTGGTGCTGCGGACGCATAGGTAAGTGTCATGTAAGTTATGGTTTATGGTTGTGGTTAGTAGTGATATGAGATGCATAGAGAG